ATCGTGTGCGGCCCAAAACGCTCCCCCACAACCACTTCCGTAATCGAGGACGGTGCGCGGAACGAAATCGCTACCCTCGAAATTGCTTAGCACCGAACGAACCTCCGCATAATTTGCCGCCAACCTGCCGAAAGAATTCTATTATGAGAGATCAGTCAAGTCAGTGGCATGGTACCAAGAGTTTTTTACTGGCGGAAGAAGGATGTGAAATTTTCCGAATAGAGATATGGAACCAACTGACGACAAGAACCAATACGACAAAAAAAGCCTAAATATCACCCACAAAAATCAAAAAAAAAATTACCGAGAACACTAATTAATCATAAGTTTTAGAACTTTGCAAGGCTGCATGATCGAACCACTCCCCTAGTTTCTCTCCAACGATTGTCACTGGAGCAAGCGATTAAAAAAGTGAATTGGAGGATGATCGCTTATGTGGGACGTCAACGTATACATAACATCAACAGAACATTCAATTCAATTTGGTTACTATCATAAGCTATTTTTTGTTTGTCTATTCTTTTGAGAGAACATCACATATTCGGCATTCCACTTGCGAATTTGAGACCAGCACATAGCTGACTGAGAGCAAACGAGTGCATAAAATGAGTGGAAAAGAACCTCGCGAGACTATATACAGCGGCTTGCTCCTTGGAGTCGAATTGCAGTGGTCGCCAATTATATCTGCTTTTACGTAGCGATCGTTCAACTTGTCGTTTGATGTAATCCTCTTTTGCATTCTTCTACAAACGAAAGCGAATTCGTATTCAATTTCAAAGAATTACTGATTCTAAATTATTCTGGTTGACGAGGGAAAACAATTGGAAATCAAACTGCACTGCTATAGAAATACTAAGATTTTCAGTTTCTAGCACAAAAGTTGTCTGTATGAAAGCACATCAATTTGAGTTCTTCCAGTGCTATTGCTGCCCACTTGAAATGTGATGCTAACTTAGCACTAGTCTTGAGTGCTACAACAAAATGAGCTGCTTGCTAGCTTGTCATGTGTGCGCATCAAAGCCAGCTTATTATTACTCAAGAGTTCAGCTCACAATCAGTGAACTCGCGGTCACTGCTCATCGAAGACGAGTAAATTCAACATTATTATTGCCGAATGGCCAGATATGGTGAGCAGACTTGACGTACGATTTTCTGACTGAATAGATCCTCGTCGATATCGAGCCCTTCGGCTTCTTTCAGTGAGTTCCGGATTTTATTACGCGCCTGACGCACTTCATCGGATGTGGCCGGAAAACGTCGCTGTGAAAGAACTTCGTTCAACTGAAATTCTTCTCATTTGCGATTGACCATTTTAAGAGCGATTTTTGGGTGGCTTAAAACTGGGCTGCGTGAGCAAAGCGAATCGCTGATCCAGTGTGAAGTCTATCGGAAGAAATTTGCTTCAGCATCGAATGGAATCGTGCGATTCTTTACCGTTATCGCTACACATTGCGGAGGAATAATATTGATATTTGAGAAAATGGTAATGATTGATGACACAATTTTAAGTGATCAAAACAGCAATATGAGGCAAACTTTCATGACACTTTTTATCACTCTTTTCGAATTTGTTTTTTTCGGGGTTACCAATCGGGCATCGTTTGAAGTGATTTCGACAAAGCGTTTTTTTGTTATCATAGTATATTAGGGGATATATGAGCAAACCTGATCAGCTTCGTGCTGTAATTGTTTTGGGAGACGTGAACACTGAACAAGCGCATTTTTTAAACCCTCAATTGCAGCTTTGGGCAATCTGAATTCATTCCGTGAACGTGACCGTCGTTTTACTGGAACATATTTTCACGTAAACAATCTGGTTTGGACTGTGGCAATTCTTAAAAAAATTTTTCATATACTCTAAACAACTGTAAGTATGCGTTTGGTTCTGATTCCTTATATTTGATGGAGCTTTCTACAAAATGACATCAACCATTTCTTGAGAGAATCAATCTTTCTGATGTCACATTTTCCGTACTTGATATGACCTCCTACATATGTGTTACTTACAACATACTAATAACAGCTTTGTTACAATATGGTGGACACATAATTTTTAATCAACCAGATGCAATTACAGTAAGTCAGCGCGATAAAATGTACACATTTCATAAATTAGATCAATTTTCACCGTTCAACAATTCCAGTTTCAATATGGATCGTTCAGCATTCTCAGTGTTAACTGAGGTAACGTGTACACAATCATCGGCAAATGTTTTATTGAAACTCGTTTGCACTGGTTCAGCGTTCGGATTAGTTGACTGAGATCGATGTGAGTTACTTATTAATCGGATGATTGACTTCGTTGATCGACCGCATATTGGTCGAATGCTCATCTGAATCAATTCTTTAAGGTGACATCTCATTTCCAAATCACACAAAAATTGCTTTGGACAGCTCTGAGTTCAATGGAGATGAATAAAGGAGAGATGTGTAATGAATCAGAGAAATTCAGTCATATTCTTGATCTCTGCATAGTCGTCAAAGAACATGTCTAGATATAGTGAGCGATTTTCCTGCTGAACCGACATCACTGCTCTAGTTACTGTGGGAAAATCACTGGGAATCAGACTGTATTGATATGGAAACGCTAAGATTTTCAGTTTTTAGCGGAAAAGTTGTCAGTGTCATAACCAGATGAAATATTCCGATGACCACTGATCTCAACCTCTCATAAGACATAACCATTGAATAGGTATACTACGCTCTCGGAAACGATTCACTGAAAGTGATGTGAAGTCCATGAAACTATTGCATAATCAAATAATTTATTTTCCATAAAATTTTGAAATTACAATGAATTTCCATTCAATTTGTAACAAAAAACATTAAAACATACAGCAGTACAATCCGATAAAGCGTCTACAATCAATAAGCCACAAAAATTCGTGGATCCTTCACAGTTTCATACATAAGATACCTGTAATGACAGCTTAAAAAATCCAACATAAGCTAATTTATTTACAAATTCATTCGCGCAAACCATAACGTCCTTGTCGAAATATAAATGATTGATCAATGTTTATCACAACTGATCACTTTTTCTTCAGCATCGATGAAGATATTGAAGTCGAATTGCGACTGTAACACGCATAGTCTGACTGCGACTCAGTAACCTTCGTTTGAGAATGTTATCTTATAAGATGGATATTTCGTTTTGAGTATATCGACAGTTTTTTGGTGATCTGCTGGACCGTAACCCTGAAATTGCAATCAATGCATCGCATGAACAAAATCCAATATCGGACACTAATTACGAGAGAGTTTCAGCAAAACAATGTTCTATCAACCAGATATCTTTGTTCAGCATATATTTGCAGTTAATCCATCAAAAAATTTCACCACGATGAAGGACTAAAAGTCTTAAAAACAGCTCCTACTAATACTTGGGTGAGTGAGTGCTCTACCTGAGAGTAGCCATAGACGAGTATTTCGCTCGATTCCGGTTCATGTTTGATACGACCACCGCCCAGACATTTCAACTTGAATGCCGTTCCGAGGGCATTTTCCGTCTCCTCGAAAATGTCACCGTGAAAATGACAACGTTTATATCCTCGAACAATCAGCTTTTCACTCTTAGATTCTTTATCAGTTGCCTGAATATTATCGAAGTTCTATGATGTTATAATGATTATTTCAGTGGCATTTCAGTTT